GCTTCGAAAGTATGTCTCACATGTCGCATTCAAAGGAAAAGCTGCGTCATCCGCTGCAGTACATCGCGTTTATTTGTTTGGGACGACAGAAGGCAACGCATTTTGCACCTTTAGATATTTCGACTTTTATTCTTTTATTGCCAGAAATGCATCTGAACAAATACCTGCACATTTGACTTTATCTGTGTTATTCTTTTCGACATTCATAATTTTTTTTTTATTTTTTTTTTTTTGTCATGGGAGTTTTGTAGGGTTAACGCACTTTGTTGGATTTTTATTATTCATAAAAGACCAGAAATTCATTTCGTATTTGTTTGAGAGTGAATACCTCTTATAGGAGGAGCAGCAATAGCAGCAAGGTTTGTTGACAGATTTTTTGCCGGGTGTGACTTTTTTTATATTTATAAAAATATTAAAAATTTTTTAATTTATTATTTTTTATTTTTAAATATATAAATAAAATGGTTTATATCATATTCTTTAAGCACAATTTTTTTTTTAAGCACAATTTTATTTTAAGTAGAATTTTTTTTAAAGTACAATTTTTTTTAACAGTTCTTGGTATTGGGTTTGGTGTTCTATAAATATTTTTATTTCTTGGTGTGATATCAGTAAAATAAACTTTAAATGGACACGGAACTTTGATAAAGAATAAAAAAATGCAATTTAACTTAGTTACATGTTATTTTAAATATAAAAATGACACAAATTTGTTTAAGATAATGGCTGCATTCGGTCGTTGCGCTTTATTTAAATTTTTAATTTCTTAATAAATATTCACATTTATAAAAAATTTAGTTTGATTGATGAATCGTATAAGATTTTTTTTTGAGAAAACATAATATTTCACAACATTGATATGTCAAAAAAAAACTTTAGCCAAACACTTTAGCAAAAGATTTTAGTAAGAGACTTTAATAAGAGACTTTAGCTAGAGACTTTTGCTAGAGACTTTAGCAAGCGACTTTAACGAGAGACTTTAGCAAAAAACTGTAGTAAGAGACTTCCGCAATAGACTTTAACAAGGGGCTTTAGCAAAAAACTGTTGTAAGAGACTTTAGCAAGAGACTTTAACGAGAGCAAAACGAGTAAAAAACTGTAGTAAGAGAATTTAGGAAGAGACTTACTGTTTTTTACCGCACTTCAAAGCGGCCGAATGCATCTAATAATATTTATTAATTAAATATTAATTAACCTTTCATGTTTAAACAAATTAATAAATAAATAAGTGAATCACAATGAAACTAATTTTTTGAAAAATACTTGCAATATTTAGATAGCTACGTAGGTAGGTTGTAGTGGCAGTTACATATCCAAGAAAGCCCACTTGAGCTCAAATAATGGCACATTGATGCACCACAGGAATAGTGTTGATTCGTACATAGACTAAAAGGTGAAATCTCCTGATTTCTTTATTAGGTCACTCAATAGATCTTCAACTTGCTCCTTATCTCCAATCATACTAATTTAGAAATAACTACACTACAAATACATTTTAACATAACATTTTCTACAACCGTTTTTCTGAAGAAGGAGTCATAAAATTCCCAAACATGCTATAAGAGACCAAAAAAAAAAACTAAAAGAAAAATAATTGATATTATAATATCAATAATAGTATTCACATTGATGCTTTATCAACAAATGGGGATGTACCAAATAAAAGTCACTGAACAGAGCATGATATTTAGTTTAAAAAAGTCACATTTTTAAATTCTTAGAATTAATATAATCTTAAAACATGAATTTACAGTAACAATTAGCAGTATCTAATATATAGATATTTACATATATATAGCTACAAATTTATTCAATTTGAATAATAAAATAAAATGCAATTTATGTTAATATATTTATTTTGAATTAATAAAATATTTATTAGGAACAAACTAGAATTTTTAGTTATAGATATGGGCATAGAACACCAATTATTTTAATTTAAATGTATAATACGATTTTTTAATCACATATACGAATGCTACGAGTATATATATATATATTGAAATAAAAAAAACATTTTCAGTAGAAAACAGAATAGTAATCATATGTTATATATATTGATATAAGTTATATTAATTTAAAAATTGATTGATGAATCGTATAAACAAAAAACCTTTTTAATCGAGTCAACAATTGTCTAAATAAAATATCTCACTAAGTTGTTGAAAAGATTTTGAAGGGTATGGTGACACATTGTGTTGCCAAATAAAAGTTCGAATCCCTTTTAACTTTTGTAGCATGGGACGATCTTCAAGGGTAGGTCCTATAGTTGTATACTACTCCAACAAGCAACTCTCATATTTTAAGTATTATTAAATATAAGTTTGTCATTATATATATTTTATATTGGGTAAAGATTAATTATTTTATTATAATATTTATTATTTTATTAATATTTTATCTTTTTATTTTAAATTTACTAAAAATACAAATAATTCTTTTATTTTTCTATGAATGAAAAATATTGTAGCAAGTTCTTTAGAACAAAGCTACTTGATTTAACTAAAATGCAACTAATTTTTCCAATAATTTAGTTAAAATTATGTATGACTGCATCACATCTACTTTAGGCTGCTTATTTTTTTCACAAAATTAAATTAAATTATAATATATTTATATAGTCAAAGACTGATTTCTTGTTTTATTTTATGGTGATCGCCTTTTTAGACGTTTGCATTCTTAGAATAAATTAATCATTTTTAGAGCGTATTTAATAATAATTAAAGAATTAGATAATCGTTTGAAATAAATCAAGGTTAATAATATCAACTCAATGTAATTTAATTATAATTCATACATAATACACTGACACACATAGTGCTTTATTTGATGTGAGTAAGATACGATACTACTTTCCATTAGTACTTAGATTGATTAGATTAGAAATTTTATTTTAGATATTATTATATTAAAAATAATACTGCTTATATCGTACGACATAAACATAATAATATAGTTTAAAAATAACTTGTATTTTTATTATTAATACTTGCTTCATTAATCAACCAGTTTACAGTAATGTAATATAATAGGTGTAATACAAAGAAATCCATTATTTTTACATGAAATTGATGGATTATTTACCATAGTTTACCATTATTTACTATACTATACTTTTTATCAATATATAACATTTATTATTTATTTACAAGTATTTATTAATAAATATTAATAAACATTTTTAAATATAACAATATAAATAGTATAAATTCCGAACTATAGATAAAAATATCAAACCTTGATAATTCTGTGTGGAAGGTGTAAAACCAGACATACCTTTTAAAACTATACATATCTTTTTGTTCATATATATTATACATTCTTTTAATATATATTACATATATTTAGAATTGCAATAAAAATATGTATATGTTTTGGAAAATAATTTCTTAATGATATTAACACTTGAAATTGAGAACTTCTCTTAAAGCTGTAGAGAAGTAAAGCGATATATCGTACTTGCGGACGATCGTACTTACTTAGTACTTATCGTACTTACAAGTTTTTTTCCTAATGTGAACATGGATTTCTAAAGACAAGATATTTGCAAAAATAACATGGAAAAATATCTAAAATCTAATCAATCAAAAGCTATCTATGTATGCTAATGATAAGTGAGAATTATTGTTAAGCCGGCTTCGCTGACTTGGTCAAGCCGTGCGAATGGAAGAAAGTGTTCGAAAGGTGTTTGATCCGGTACCCGTAAGTGGAGCACGCGGTAGATATGTTAACGTTCGCATCTTCGATGGAAGAATCAGGTAACCAACGATTTGGCGGCACTGGATACTACCAACTGGCGAGAGCAAGCGACCGATCGCGCTGGTTAGCGGAGGCTACTCGAAATCAGATTCTCACTTTTCATATATAAGTATATTGAGAAATATATATATAGAATTCATATTATTATATTATAGTCATAGAATATATACTATTATAAAAATTATTATAAAATTCGGTGCTGACATGTCACTACGGAAATGCATTCAATAAGAATTGATCGACCCTTTAACGATTTTTGTCGCGACTGTGGCTATGTGAATGAGAAGAAAATTTACATCAAGTAGCAGTGCACTACATTGACTAGAAGTAGATTTAAAATCTTTGGAGTCCAATAAGAATCAATAAGAATTGATCAACCCTTTAACGACTTTTGTCGCAACTGTGGCTATGTGAATGAGAAGAGATTTGTAGTTTACATTAAGTGTCAGTGCACAACATTGCCTAGAGGTAGATTTACAATCTTTGGGGTCCCTTTTCTAACTGATATTCGGTTAAAACCGGACATTTTTGCCGATAAAAGAATAATTTTTAAAACTGATCTCTAAAATATGTATACATAATTTATATATTTAATTTTTGTATGCAATTTTTATAAATACTTTTTATACTTATATTGCTTATAGACAGTACCTAGTCTGTCTATAATATAATTGTTCTAGTAATACACAGTATCTCTTACTTAAACTTTGTTATCATTTACATCATAATGATGTGAAATATGAAAAAAAATTTATGAGTTGAAGTACAATTTTTCATCTTTGTTTAATTTAAATTATATTATTGTTGAGGTTACTCAAGAAAAACCACTTAAAAATCCCCAAAGAGTTCATGCTATCTATAACAATGGGACCACTAATAATGCAAACAAAATCTACAAGAAAATAAACTGGAAAAAACGCTTAAATTTCGTCTGAAATATTTCATGCCATTGTTGTAAAGTAATTAGCACTTTATCTTATTTTCTCAAGATACAAATTTATTTATCATTAAATTATTTAAAAATGAATTAACAACGCAATAGAGAGATGTTAACAGTCACACTTGATTCCAATTGTCAAAAGTAAAGCCATGAAATGGAAAGTGTATCTATGACCAAAAAGTTCGGATGCATAATTAATATGAGAGAAAAAAAATTGTAAAAAATCCTAATTTATCTACACCATACATAATTAACTTTAAAGACAATAGCTACGTTTACTATGAACTCACAATGCACTTACCATATCTTCTTCATCTTCCAAATAGTTCACATCCAAGAGTAGAAATTTCCATGCCTGCACGGAATCTGGCAGCGAAGGCTTTATTAATACTTTATTATCGTTGACTATTGGCACTGGTGGAGCTTTGCGTATAACAACACTTTCACTTGCCGTTGACAGGGACTTTGTAACACTAGTGGTACGTGGCGGTGGCATGGGTGAGCGTACAGACTTTGGCGGTGATTTCCCTATGCCACTGTCATCAGCAATGTCAACGTACGGTGGCGACGACGACGATGACGGCGATGACGACGATGACGACAACGGTGTGGTGTTAGTCTTTTGCGTCTGTTCAAAATGTTTGGCAAAGTAAAACGATGAATTTATGCGATCGTAATCGAAAATAATTGCACGTAGCTTTGGTTCGGTAAGACTATAAAAAATGCCAATATTTCTAAAGAGATGGTGCGTTAAACTGGCGCTAATTGTTGATGCCAAAGTTGCTGTGCTGCTGCCAAAACCGGTAACGGTGCTGCCAGTAGCTGTGCTGTTGCTGCTATACGTTGAACGTATAGTGCCATCATTTAAGCTGCAACCATCCGCTGTGGAATTATTATTGATATGTGTGCTAAACATGAATTCATCGTCCGTCTCCCATTCACCATGATCGTCCACATTTTCTGAGATTAAAATGGCTGGCATAACGGATGAATCACGCGCATCTGCGTCTATGTCTGCATCATTATAACGTTCTTGGGCTTCCCCAACAGTTTTAAACTTCCAAATTGGTTGATAGATGCCATCATCATCATCACCTTCATTTTTATTTGTCATATTTTTGGCATTACCAGTAATGGGATTATGTGTGGGATTATTAGTATTTGCAGCAGGCACAGTCATATCAACGCTTATGGAGTTATTAATGTTGGGGGTAGTAGTAGAATTAGACGTAGGTGTTGTCACACACTGCGCTTCTGTGACTTGAGTATTATTAAGAAGTTCGCGTGGTGGTGGACGTGGTGGTATTATATTTATACTTGTTGTATTGGTTAAGACTGTTTTTGGATCTCTGGCAGGCACTTGTGGTTTGGTAAAACTTTTAGAAGAAACTAATTCACTTGCTGTTACTATATCATTTGTATTTGAATTTGTGCTAGTTTTCTCTACAAGTATTTGTTCTTCTTCTCTATTTTCAATATGGCTTTTATCAACTTCACTTATAATTGCATTTTCTTTAACACTTGCACTACTTAAAGTCCTCTTTTTTTCAAGTGTCTTACAACTTTCTTCAACACTCTCTGACTCTTTCAACTCAACACAGTTGTCAACACTGTTTGGCACATTCTTCTCAGCGCTTGCCACATTTACTGTGTCATTAATTGAATTTTGGTCTATAATTTGTTCAGTAGCGGAAACATTAGCAGCCGTCACGTCTGTCTGAACATTTCCGTCGTCCCGACTTATTGCTTTCGACACTAAAATACACTTAACAACTGTTGTTGTTGTTGTTGTTGTAGTTGTTGTGGCTGCTATTCTTGTTATTGATGGCGTTTTAGTTTCTTCTAAGGGCGCCAAATTATCTTTCTGGACTATCTGTTGACAAGTATAAGTGTGAAAACGTTTATACCAGCGCCGCAAACGTACGATCGAATATTGTGCACACTTCACACGATATGGCGACACTTGGGTAATACAATATAAAAATTCTCGCAATGGCTTATCATGAAAAATTACAATTCTATTTAAACTGGCCGATAACGCCAGCTGGCTAAGTAGCGTTATATAATTAAAAATATGTGCATCTATGGCTAATGTAGCACCAAATGACCAACTGTTTGAAGACACAACACTACTACTACGATCAGTACTCGCAAGGATTGTGGAATTTTTAAATTTTGGCACTAAATCATTCAAATTTTTTAATGTACATTCATTTATTGCATTGGCGATATCGCACCGTTCCACACACTCACTTCCATAAACGCTACCGATTTTATTATTCACTTCCTGAGATTTTGATTTCTCACATTTATTTTGAGATTCTTCTTCAACGGCTTCAACTGTTGTTTCGCGTTGCAAAAACGTATCGAAAGCACACAAGATATCGTTTACGAAATCCGAATCGCGCTCGTATATACCGCAACGCCTATCAGACGTTGTTATTGCTTGACGTGCTGCACGACGACTGGTAAAACCTTGCTCAGCGCCAACTGTGTGTAGCTGAGTGTTTGCAAATTCTGCTATTTTTGGGCTAACTGAGGCTGTACTGAGTTGAGCAATTTCTGCTACTGGTGTTGCTGGTGTTGTTGTTTTAATATTGCTCATTTGTTGATTTAGATAATTAGTGTTAGCATCGTTGTTGTTGTCTTTTTGTTTTTGTATATTTTTACATTTATTTTGAGTATTTGCGTTGTTGTTGTTTGCTATTTTACGATATTCATTGTTATTGTTATGGTTATTTATGCTATTATTGTTGTTATTGCTATTAAGAGTAACACTATCGTTGTTGTTGCTATTGTTATTGTTGTTGTTGGTATTGTTTACATTAAGTAAATCATCAGTTTTCAGGTAAATTGCTTGTCGTTTTGCACGCTGCTGCCTTGTTTTTGTTTGTTCACCACCACCAACAGCGGCATATCTACGCTGTTGTTGTTGTTGGTGTGTTTGTTGTTGTTGTTGCTGTTGTTGCTGCTGCATTTGTCTTGCCAATAAATTACATTTAAATTCATGTACCATTTGAGCAACAGGTGATCTCTGGTAGAATTCTTGTTGTCTTACGTTCACTTCCCTATATTCTTCTTCTTCTTCTTCTTCTCCTTCAAATAAATAAGTATAATTTTGTCTTCTCAGTGTTGCAATTTCATCATTGCTTAAATGATATTTATCGTTAGCGTTGTTGTCACAATACTCGTCGTGGTCGTCACTATAACTAGTAAATACGTCACTATTATAGAATTTCTCTAACTTATCGTTGTCAATATTTTGACAATTAGTCACTAAATTATTCTCGCTAATTGCCTGATTAAAACAATGTTTGGCGCCGTTGTTGCGTATACCGTCGTAGTCGTAGTCGTAGTCGTCGTAGTCGTGGTCGTCGTTTACACCGGAACCACCGTTTGTGTAATAAATCAGTGTATTCTTCGCGGGTATACTTTTCGGTGTGCAATGGCCAATGTTATCATCGAGCGTTGTACCCAAACAATGATAATTGTGTATTTCACGTCGCAGTGATGTCATCCAATTGCAAACGCTCTCGCTTAAATAAAGCGAATATTTTTCTGTTTTATTGCGCCCAATTGAACTCGTATTATTCTGACTGTTAGCGCTACTGTTATTCAGTGTATTTGTACTACTCTCGGTACTTTGGGAAGTTGTGCGTAAGAGACGCGGTTTGGATATACGCGGTCGCTTCACAAATCTTCCGTATTTTTTACAATTTTTTAATTTTTGTTTTACGCTTGCATCCAAACTATTTACACTTGACGCTGCTGTTGGTATTGAATTAACTGTTGTTGTTGTTGCGGTGTTGGCTGTTTGCAGCAATTGATCATGTGATTGTGATAACTGTATTGGTAATACTTTTTCACTATTCACCACATCCTCCTCTGGTGTCTCTGGTGTACTTTTCAGCCTACCATATATATGTTGATCACTTGTACTCGTTTGTTTATTACGTTTTAATTGGCAAATACGTTGTAGATCAAATGTCTCTTGCGTGCGAAAGACGTTCTCATAACCATCGACATTATGTACGATTTCTAAACGTTTACGCGTATTCACCACCGCTGTTGTCTCATTGGGTTGTGTTACAGCAGTTCTTGCACGCTTTAATGAACCGATAAAACCGTGAAATAGACTTAGTTTGTCACGTTTATTGAACGATTTCGATTTACCTAATTTAGTATCTTTAGTTTGGTTACTTTTATCACTGTTTACAGCACTATCTATTGTCTTATCACTACTACTTGTTGCGTCTTTGGTTTCGTTACAATTATTCCAACTCTCATATGCTATGGGCACGTCACTCACACTGCAGCAAATGCATTCGTCGTCACTGTAAACCGAACCGCATTTATCGCATATGTTCTCATATATATTCGCACTGGTGTCGTCTGGGATTTCCGTTACTGTGCTTGCTTTTCGCACTTGCACACCATGCACTATGCATTCGCAAAAGAAACACAGATTTCCGCGCGCTTCGAATACCCCGTAACCGCAACCCCTGCACAAATTCTCATATATTGCACAATTCTTCTCGGTGCTGTGGAAAAATTTTTGCAGAAGTAGCGATTTACTTAAATTCAAATCAAATTTTAAATTTTCGTATTCGTGCTCCGCATTGGGCGTTTTTATGTAATTAATATCGCGCACAAATGTGTTCTTTCCCGCTTGGATTCTCTTAGAAGCGTCACATGTGACACGATCAGCACGGCACTCGTTATTAAATGACTCGCTTGTGTTATGAAAGCGTTCGACCATAGAGCGATCAATTTTTTGGTTACATTTGTTGTTGTTGTTGTTGTTATTTTTATTCTTGATATTATTGCTTTTATTGGCATTGTTGTTGTCATTCTCGTTGTAGTTGTAGTTGTTGTTGTGGTTGTTAGTATTATAGCTATTGGTGTTGTGTTGGTGGTTGTTATGACTGGAATTCTTGAAATTTTCTCGTTCGCTACTCACTTCAAGACATTCTTTTTGCTGTCGCTTAGGCATTTTACTTTTATCTTAAAGATACAATAAAACGCATTTACTTCAATGTATTCGAAATTTTTTTTTTTTTGGTTTTGTCATATATGTGTATATATTTTTTTTCTCTGGTTTTTCTCTTTTTTTTTTCAACACTTGTTTATTGATCTCTTTATTTGCCTTTGCTCTTTTACATTTTGTTTTTCACTCTCTGTAAATATATAACATTTATCACGATTTTTGTTTTGTTCACATTTTTTATGAATAAGTTATTGTTTGCACACTATACATTATTATTGATGTAATACACTTATTCCGATGTTATATTAAGTTCCTTACACACATTTATGATGAATTATTTTCTAACTAAAGATATTAGAGTACAGTAGAGACATATACGGCACATAAAACTAACCTGAAAGCAATCCAAAGTCAGATGGAACTTATAGGCAAATGACAAGAAATCGCTAATTGGAGTCAGTGTAAAATTATCTAGTGAACTGACACTATAACCACTGCTGATACATCTTGACGACAACTTTTTTTTGTACAGTAGAGATATATACGGTACATAAAACTAATATAAAAGTAGTCCAAAGTTAGATGGAACTTATAGGCAAATGACAAAAAACCACTAATTAGAGTCAGTGGAAAGTTATCTAGTGAACTGACTTTATAACCACTGCTGATATATCTTGACGACAACTTTTTTTTGTACAGTAAAGATATATACGGTACATAAAACTAATATAAAAGTAGTCCAAAGTCAGATGGAACTAATAAGCAAATGACAAAAAATCGCAAATTAGAGTCAGTGGAAAGTTATCTGATGAACTGACACTACAACCACTACTGATGGATCTTGACGACAGTTTTTTTTTAAAGTTGCCTAATCTACAGATGTTTTTTTCGTAAAGTTTCCTGATCTAAAGAAGTTTTCTGCTATATTTATATGTCGATATAGTCTGATTATTAAAACATTCAACATCAAAGTCGTAAATTTAATATAAAAATTTTTAACTATATATGTAGTTAGATATCTGGAGAACCTATTTCTATTGACTTAGAGTTCATGGTTGTATTTTCTGAGATGTTTTTAACATGGACTAACAGTTTTCCAGAGATATTAATTCGTTAATTCCAGAGATAATATCGTTTTAATATGGTAGCAATGAATATTAGACATATCCAAAGATCACCTTTACAAACAACTCAATGATAGTTGCATAATTATTTTATGTATTTATAAAATGCATACATTTTTTAATAAGGACGTATAATAATTGTTCTAGAAAATATATATATATATTTATATTAAAAGTTTAGACGTGAAAGCGCCAAGAACAGAAGAAGAGTCCTTTTGTACTAGTTTCACTGCTGATTACATAAAGCTCCTTAAAGCTTTGTAAATAAAGTCCAGAACTAAATCTAGAGAAGAGTTCTTAATAGAAAAATGAGTATATACCTCTATAGTTTGAGTGTCATTTAATACTGCACACATATATTGTATTGTATTGTACTATATTTTGGTGTGTTCGAACTTTAGTTATATCTAACACTGCGTCCAAGGATAAACTGCTGCATTCTATCTATAATTACCGAAGAATATCTTTCACTTTAATTATATCCAGAAAAGCCTTAATCTCTTTCAGACCGATGTTTGCCCACTCTGTTTTGTGGTTCAACTTATTGGGGAAAATTTATCTCTAATATTATATAAGAGTAGAACATTCTCCAATAAAATCTAAGACTGTTTTTTCTATACATAACCTGCTTTCGTCGGTAGTCGAGAGTTCTAGTCGCATCTGAAGTTTATTTCATATAGAAGACTGTAACCGGTTATCACGCCTATCATTGTTTCAAATCGAATCTGTTCAGATTTTGAAGATATTTGCTCTTCTTCTCTGAGCAGTTCGGTAGGAAGAGTTTTGTACAGCTAACATAGAACTTTCTCAATTGGAATACTTTTATTTAGCTGTAATGTTAAAGTCCGATTTGATTATATTTATGAAGTGATTTTTGCTTAGTTTCTAAACTACATAGAGTTTCCGACAAGAAGGAACAATAAAAGCTCTAGAGAGAATATATTCTAATTTTAATAGTAATATATGCTTTATACATCCAAAGATCATTCCTATGAAATAGATAACAGGAAGTATAGAAGAAACTTTCCGGCCAGACAAGAGAATCTATTTTGGATTTTAAAGTCACTCGCTAAACTTGTGAAGTTAAAACTCAAGATATGTCTTCAAAAAATAAGAAAAGATGCTCAAGTCTTACACTTTATGTATTATAAAACCTTCTAAAAATCTATATTAACTCGTTAGAACTAACTTTCATTTCAACAAATATTAAAAAATAAAGAAATCATTTATTTAAAAAGACTAAAAACCGATCTGTCTTAAAATATTTGTATTTTCATGCTTTCAAATCAATTTTAAACAAAAAGTTACAGTCATTAAACTTCTCAATACTTTTTATTGTATTTCGTATGTTATTTTAAAAAAATTTTACTCAAAAAACTCTACACGTTTATGTATAAAAAATGTTAAGTAAATACAATATTAAAAAAGTGTCAAAATGTTCAATAATCGGTTTAACATTCCCATTTATTTATTCATTTAATATCTTCCTTGAATTGTATTTTTTTTGTCTTTGTTTTTGTGCTATCGACTTTTCAAGTATTCTCCTCAATTTATAATATGAGATACAATATAAACAAGATACTCGTACCAGTTAGTTTGAAATACATTCAAATGTATTTATGAGTTCTCACTCTCATTCAACACAAAAGAATATATTACAATATTTTTTTATTAAATTTAAGCTTTTTAATTTTATTTGGTAGAATGTAGATATTGTATTTTCTCCGATATTATTTTTCATTATTTTTATTTTGTATTCTCCCCTTACTTTTATAGAACTCTCGCATTTAACATGCTAACCTCTTTTATGAGTCACTCCACGGCCGTCATTAAACTTCAATTAATTTTGAAATTATCTTAAATTTTTTTTTTCATTTTTATGGGCTTGTTTCTACGAGTACTAGTATCTATGTAGTTTTGTGTATAGAGATACGTATCTGAGATTTATATGATTTTATGGTAAACAAGACAGATACAAAGACAACAGGTGTTTTATTTAATTCGTTTCTTGAGGCATGTGGTTTAATTGACTACAAGGCACAAGCATCGCTAAATACTATAGTAAGGCAATGCATTACATTGTAAGATTTATCTGATAAATCTTGCGAAGGAAATTTGCCACAAAAAGCTTAATGGCTTCAAAATTGTGATAAAATGCATTCGCATTCAAATAGTAGAGTCTCTTTAATTGCATTTAAACTAAATTTAATATATAGTGGAGAGGGGTCGAACAGTAGTGAATTGCAACAACAAAAAATTTTATTTATTTTTCATTAATAGAATTTAACTCACTGCCGTCATAACTGACGTTAAAATCGTACTAAACTAATAATGTAATATTTAACAATATTGATAAAAATATGGTAATTAATATTATTATTTAATTTTTTATTATTTTAATAATATTTATATATTTTATGTGTGAGTTAACACTAAAGTTATTTTTAAAGTTAACTAAGAATAAGGAACAGGACTACTAGGTCCTTAGCCCTGTATTTTAATAACATATATAGTAAGTATATATGAAAGCAAGTTATAAATGAATAAATGACAAAAAAAAGTTGATATATATTTTTAAATGAATTCTATAAAATCCTAAACAAAAATAAACAAAAGATCGCTAAGAATGTAACATTTAGACTTGGATCATTCAAGAACTTTTACTCGAAGGAAAAATAATCATATATTCCTATTATAAACAAATTTTACTAGAAAAAAGATAATCATTTATTCCCATTATAAACATCTTTTACTCGAAGGAAGAAGAAGATAGATAATCATATATTCATATTATAAACATTTGATTCTCTATGTATAGACAAAATAATAAAGGCAACCAATCTAACAATCAGCGGCTATCTATATTAAGAAACATATTTGGAATTCGTCTTTTAAAAGGAACCAAGTAAACAACCTTTTTATATATTAACACTGTTTGACTCATTTGAAAGGAAATTATCTAAGGACTGCGAAAAACTCAATGGAAATGATATGAAGCTATCACTTCAAAATTTATCTTAAGACTGTAAAAAATTGCACTTAAATTCTTACAGCTATCAGATTTTAATTCGTGCATGGTATTGATGTGAACTATCACTTAAAATTACTATCATATTAATATCTACATTACCAATATTA